CCTCACCAGTCTTGGTTTTCTGTGCCACTCGTCTCTTTATCAGCCGTGTCACCTTTGATATCACCGTCCTTTCTCTCTTCTCCCTAGGCCCACGGCAATTATGAGAATGCCATCAGCCAGGGCCACCAAGCCTTCCTATTGGAGGAGGACAAGTGCTCCAGGGATGTCTTCTGTTGTAATGTGGGGAACCTCCACCCTGGGTCGAAGGTGGCACTCACCCTGAAGTATGTGCAGGAGCTGCCCCTGGAAGCAGATGGCGCCCTGCGCTATGTGCTGCCAGCTATCCTGAATCCTCGGTACCAACTCTCTGGTGAGCATCTGCTCTCTTTGAATAATAGTGGTGGGTGACACAACTGGGGAAATCCCCTCAAGGTTGTAGGGGTGTTAAAAAGGCTGGGAAGGAAAAACACAACTAAGGTAACTTTTTGTAGGAGGGCCTGAGGACAGTTGCCTTAATATGAAGACTCCTGTAGTCCCTTTGGAGGACCTGCCTTACACACTCAGCTTGGTTGCCACCATCACTTCCCAGAATGGCATCCAGAGAATCCAATGCAACTGCCCCTTGAGTCCCATTGAGTACCTTGGAGATGAGAAGACATCTGCTCAGGTAATTAATAAGACAACGCTGTTGCCAGCACCCCTACTCTTGGGTCCTGATCTTCCCCCGCTCCCCCCATAGGCTGGAAACAGTCTTGGAACAAATGACCCAAATGAGAGTTGAAAAGTCCGGGACATAAAGCCCCTAAAGTTCAGAGCCTAGCACACAGTGTTATTAGCAGGGCCTAGTATACAGTAAGCCCTTGGTAATAAAGTCTATTATTGAAATATATAGTTTTTGATGGCATTGTTGATGTTATTATTACAGCATTTTCACTTGAAAAGAAAAAAAATCCTTTCCCTTTGCCTACCCTTTGATTGTCTTTTAGCCCAGACCAGGCAAAGGAAAAAAAGCAAACATTCCAGGGCTGAAGAATTTTCCTTTGATCCAGAGAAAAGCTAATGTTAGAATATTGGTTTAAGAATTTCCCGTCGATCCCTTAGTCACGTAATGCTACTTTAGAACCGGTCCCTAGAAGGGGGCGGGTCTTCCTGGAAATTTTGACTGCAGATGTTTTCTCTTAGCAGTGAGTGACTCAGAGGCTCGGACTGCTGGAGAAGGTAGGTGTCTAAGCTGCCTGCGCTGGGGCTGGATCACACTCCTAACCCATGAGGACTAAAACCCTCCCATTCTAATTCCCTTTCTTTGTCTCCAAATCTCTTGGGGCTTGTTTTGACTGCAAATCCACGTGTCCGTGTGTGCGTGGGGGGCGGGGGGCGGAATTTAATCCTGGTGGGCGATCCCTGGGGTGTTTCTGCAGGTTTGGCAGTTTAGGGGAATCTTGGCGGGAGGGGGGAGGGAAGGAAGGAAGGCTGGAAGGAAGGAAGGAAGGCTGGAAGGGGGATTTAGCCATATCCTAATAATCTCAAGGCGCATTTTCCAACTTCTCTTTTACTTTACACTTCCCTCCCTCCCTCTTGCATATGTACAATTAGTGTTTCCTAAATTTTATGTAATGTTATGCTGCCGAAATGGAACTTCAAGCTTCCCTCTCCCCCATCCCCCCCACCCCCAAATCGGGAAGCCCCTAAGCCCTTCTATATAGAAATTCAAGGGATGGACCCTGATCAGCCCTTCAGTTAATACTTCGACGATGAAAATCTAGGACTGAAAAATTAAAGGTTAAATCACTCTGTTTCTATCCAAGGCCCACTCTGTATTCATTTCGCCTCTGTGGCTGGATCCGGGTTCTCCACTTGACCCCTGCAACAGGCTGCAGGGTGTGTCCGCTGCGCCACCCAGCGTTGGCCTGCACCTCCCTCTGCCGGCGGGTGAGGAAACCACACAATGCCCCTTCAGGAACCCACGGGTCCAGCAAACGTGAAGACCCTTGGCGCAGTGAGCCTAGCTGCCTCAGATTCTCGGCTTTGACTCTGGTCAGCTGCTCTGGCCAGTCTGCCTTACCTGTTGCTAGGTGCATTTCTGAAATGCCATCCTGAGGGAGGGAGAACTGATTCCGACATAGTTTGTACTGTGAAGTGTGGGGAAGAGGGGACAGTACAGCAAATTTCCCTCAATGATTTATTCTGGGGTTAGAATCAGGAAAGAAGTCTGTTTCTGTCCACCTGAAAGCCACCCCCGTTGGTGAGTCCTGAGGAGCCTTACAGATTTGGTTGCCTGACAGTTTCTTCAGCTTTTGTACCCCTGTGTCCCTGCTTTAAGCTCCCTGCTCATGTTATTAGAAAGTCTTCCCTCCCCCAGCTCCAACCTGTTTTACCGGAGAACTTACCCCAATCAAGTGTCAACATGGAAACCTGTTACCTGAGCATTCACTCCCCTCCCCACAGTCACTATTGCCCTATGTATTTCTATTCAGTGTGAGCCATTTTGCCATAATCTGTTTTTATTCAATTCCTTAAAAATGAAAGAACAAAAAGCCTGATTTATTGGCACTGATTTGTGGGGATGGGGCATGGTGTCTAAGAAACACCATTGCTATCAAATGGGTGAGCAACATGGCCATTGTTCTAGATTGGAGTAGGGTGTGATGCTTTACGTGGTGATTGGGATTTAAAGGCACAATCGGCCTGTAAATAGTCCTGTCAAAGCTTCAGAATCCTTGAAGGGGGTGTTATTCTAGGAAGGAAATTGCTTTTCTCAAAAACCAGTATGTTTTTCTGGGCTCTAGTTTCTTGAGTGAAGGTTGAGGTTCCCAGTGACTCATTTGCCTCTGAGACTCTGGATAAACACTTTAGTTTCACTTTTCCTGAGCATTGTCTATGCACCAGACAATTCCATTTAGCTCCTATGCACCAGGCAATTCCATTTAGCTCCTTAAAGTGTATTTTCAGTGAAAATCCCCTTTATTGGTGTTGGAGATTGCAGCTCAGGTCACCCTTTGACAGAACAGGGAGAGGCAAGCTCACAGATGACTCAATTCAGAATGGTTGGCGGGCAGCTTTCAGTGGTATTAGGGCCAGTGACTAGGACCAGACCCACCTGTTGATTCTCTGGATAAAGGAATCATAATGTAAATCATAATCTAGGTACATAAATGTATTCCTTTGTTGCCATATCACATGAAATGTTTGTCTAAGATTATAAAATTTGGAAGATATGTTTAGGATGGTCTGATTTAAAATAGAAGACATGTTGCATATATGATATATTAATATCTTGGACAGAGAAAACAAGCAGTAGTTTTAATTATGAGCTCCCAAGAAAAGTCACAAGGTAAGGTGATCTAAGTTGTAGGCGTCCATTTTGGATCCAGGCAACTTCTTATGTGCAGGTCTCTGAATAGCATGATCCAAAGCAATAGCCACAGTCTATTTAACAATGGTAACAATAACAAGAACAATGCTAATGTCTATCATTAATTAAGTGCTTCCTATAGGCCAGGCACCTTTCTAGGAACTTCATATATATTCAATTCATATATGCATACATGACATATAGGTATTACGGTTTTCATTTTAGAAAGAATATGGAGATTCAGAGGAATTGCATTATACTTATTGAATATACCTAAGGAGGGGTATATTAAATATACTTTTGAAAAAGTGGTGCTGGTGTTTGAACCAGCCTTAGGGTGTTTCAGAGGTTTCCTGTTTAGTGGATACTTGGTGAGTTTCTTCCCCTCCTGAGTCTGGCATTTGGAAGGAGCCTTACTATTGGTAAGACCTTTGTCCCCTTCTTTTCAGCTTTTTTCCCTTCCTAGCTCCATCATATTCACAACCCTGTGAATATATTTCTATGCCAGAGACAAGCACATAAGGTATTGGTATTTGAATAGATAATCCCCCACATGTCACTATTCATGATGTGTCTTTTCCACAGTAGCCCTGTGTCACCATGGTGCGCCCTTGTGGCCTACTAACTCGCCAAGAGGAACCAGGTGAGTGATTCATGACTCTTACTTGCCATTCAGACACTTACTTACACCTAGCACAATGCCTGGCCTGCAGGCTCCATTCTATTAACGTTCGGTGAACTCTCGAAATCTGGTCTATCTCCAGTGCCACTGAAGAGCATCTCTGTGACCTTGTCCATTTGTGAATTTGTGGCTGGTGTGTCTGCTACCTTAAATTATGAGAATGAGGAGAAAACTCCTTTGGAGGCCTTCTTTGTATTCCCCATGGATGAAGACTCAGCTGTCTACAGTTTCGAGGCCATGGTGGATGGGAAGAAAATTATGGCAGAACTACAGGACAAAATGAAGGTACTAGGGATGAGTACATTATCTCCTGCCATTGTATTTCCTTAATACATACTCTTTAGGATCTCTAGCAAATGCAACTTCACAGATATACTAATATTGAATGCTTTTGCCTCCACTCCCCTCTAGCTGCTGTTTTCCTCAAATCATTTGGAGGGAAAAATCAATGAGGCACTCAAAGTGTAGTTGTGAACTTGGCAAGACCAATCACATCCCCTCCTCACCAGTCTTGGTTTTCTGTGCCACTCGTCTCTTTATCAGCCGTGTCACCTTTGATATCACCGTCCTTTCTCTCTTCTCCCTAGGCCCACGGCAATTATGAGAATGCCATCAGCCAGGGCCACCAAGCCTTCCTATTGGAGGAGGACAAGTGCTCCAGGGATGTCTTCTGTTGTAATGTGGGGAACCTCCACCCTGGGTCGAAGGTGGCACTCACCCTGAAGTATGTGCAGGAGCTGCCCCTGGAAGCAGATGGCGCCCTGCGCTATGTGCTGCCAGCTATCCTGAATCCTCGGTACCAACTCTCTGGTGAGCATCTGCTCTCTTTGAATAATAGTGGTGGGTGACACAACTGGGGAAATCCCCTCAAGGTTGTAGGGGTGTTAAAAAGGCTGGGAAGGAAAAACACAACTAAGGTAACTTTTTGTAGGAGGGCCTGAGGACAGTTGCCTTAATATGAAGACTCCTGTAGTCCCTTTGGAGGACCTGCCTTACACACTCAGCTTGGTTGCCACCATCACTTCCCAGAATGGCATCCAGAGAATCCAATGCAACTGCCCCTTGAGTCCCATTGAGTACCTTGGAGATGAGAAGACATCTGCTCAGGTAATTAATAAGACAACGCTGTTGCCAGCACCCCTACTCTTGGGTCCTGATCTTGTTCCTTACCCAGTGTTTCCTAAATGTTCCTTACTTTTCCCTATTAACCCAGAGGGAATCACACTGCTCCTTCTTTATCCCCATTCAATCTCCAGAGCCTCACCTCCATTTTAACCCCTGCCCTTGACTATGCTCGCTCCTGGAAGAAGCCTGTAGCCCTCAGCTCTGACCTCAGCCCCAGGCAGCAATCAGTGATAGTGCTAACATGGCTTCTTTGCCTGTTCCCAACTCAGACTTCCTTGGCTGATGGACACAAATTTGATCGAGATGTGGAACTCCTAATTTACTACAGTGAGGTGCATCTCCCCAGTGTAGCTGTGGAGATGGGGAAACCTACAACGGAGCCAGGTATTTTCTTTCTCCCTTTGTAGTTACCTACTAAGGGAGGTAACTTAGTAGGCACCTATTCAGGGGTAACTCCTGTTTTGGAATTACCCTCAAATTACCTTCACTTTTCTTTCCTCCTATGCAGCAGTGGGTAAAAAACTGAGATAGCTTTGGCATGGAAAAATGGTTCGGGTCGATGAATATCATGTGACTATGTCTTATAGGCAAATTTAAGTGAATCTGTAGATAATTAGGCAAAGGACATGAACAAGTAATTCACAAGAGGAAACATAGTTTAAAGCATGTGACTGATCCTCTACAAGAGCAAATAAAAATAAAATTAAAATAATGATGCAACATTTTCACTTTTCAAATTTTTAAGGGTTTCTAAATCTAATAATGCTTCATGCTTTAAAAGGTGAGGTGATTTTGGTACTCTCATAGATTGCTTGAAGAAAAACAATTTGGTATCAAACTTCTGAGAAGAAATTTGGCCATATGTGTCAAAATAAATGTTCATTTTGGTAATTCTAATTTTGAGAATCTTACCTAATGAAATAAATCTAAATATAAGTATAATTATGCACTAAAATATCCTCTGCCATGTTGGCAGGATGGCTCAGCTGGAGAGCACGTGCTCCTAACAACAAGACTGCCTGTTTAATGGTGGGCTATGCCTGCCCGCAACTAAGTCTGAACTTGGCACCTTGAGCTGAGCTGCTGCCCGGATGGCTCTGTGGATAGAGTGTGCACTCTTAACAACAAGGCTGCTGGTTCGACTCCCGCATGGGATGGTGGCTATGCCCACCGACAACTAAGATTGTAACACAGCACCTTGAGCTTAGAGGCCATGAGCTGCCTATGGGCAGCCAGATGGCAACTGGTGCCCTCCACAGTTAATATTGAAGAACAACAACTGGACTGGTCTCCCTCCCCAATTTCCCAACACTGTTCCCCTCCCCCAATTCCCCAATTAAAAAAAAAAAGAAAAACATTTAAAACCATAGAGAGTATACAAGTAGTCATTGTGATTAGATTAAGACTAAGTTTACTTTTTTAACTTCTTTTTTTATCTAATCTGTTTTATTGATTGATTAATCACATCAACATGTAGTCTCACCTGGAGTTCTTTTTCTGTCTTTTTGTGGTAAAATTTATTATAACTATTTTTAAGTATATGGTTCTGTTGCCTTATGTACATTCACTTGGGCTAACCATCACCACCATCCATCTCCACAGCTTTTTTATCTTACCCTAGTTTCTTAATTTCTAAGACTAAGTTTTTTAATAAGTTTAATTTTTAAAATTTCTCTTATTTTCTGAAATTTCCTTAATATATGTATACTTTTACTTATAACTGGTGTAACGCATGCAGTCTGATGCTCTCTTGGGGCCTTCCTGGGCTGCCATGCCCCTGGATTGCAGGGACCATGAAACATAACTGGAGATATACTCCCACTTCTGAAGCATTTTTCACATTTGTGGAATGGAAGCATCCTTGGGGATAATCATAGTCAAAATGCTATGTCTTGGGTTAGGCTCTTCTATAACTGCAACTGCTATAAAGACAATTCCCTGTATCTGGTCTTCAATCAACCATCTTTCTCACTGTTCATATTTGGCAAAGGTAACTTCATACTTGAGCTCACAAATTGGAACTCGTTAGTTTGCTCTCGCTTGTTCAACCATGTTTCCTGAGAGAAAGCTGTCTGTGCTATACCTGTTAGAGGGGCTACCAACTGTCCAGTTCCTCTTCCATGAAGCGCCATGGAAGCTCTTTCTACATTAGTTACCTGGTTTTGTCCTTTCCTTTTGGCAAGGTCCTCCTTGGGTGCCCATTGAAATACTCCCACAATAATGACCTGATTTTCAGTCAGGATTATTTTAATCCACCAGAGAACGTTTTAAAATATTGGATCTTAAAAGATGGAGATCTCAATCCCTTTCTTTCCAAGAAGTTCCATTGGCCCCTATGCAGATTTCTTCATCTGTTCCTTATTACTAGCTCCGTAGGCCATAGAGAGACTTCAGGGGGTTAGTTTATATGAGTCTTGTGAATTCCCTTCATCAGGGTTGCTCAAATCTTGTTTTTTAGATCACATATTTGATCAGCATGACTTGCTATTCTCATCTATACAAAGAAGTAAATGACAACTGGCAGCTTGGCTCACTAAAACCATTTAGAGTTATGTCAAATGAAGCATACCATTACGTGCTGAAAATGTAAAATAGACTTTTAAAAACTTAGAATGTACTTGCCATATTAAGAACATTACTTTTTAGGGCTGTCCAGGAGGCTCAGTTGGTTAGAGCGGGAGCTCTGAGCAACAGGGTTGCTGGTTCAATTCCTATATGGGCCAGTGAGCTGTGCCCGAGCTGAGCTGCTGCTGAGCTGCCAACAGGCGGCCAGATGGCTCAGCTGATGAGGGTGAGTGCTCTTAACAACAAGGTTGCCGGTTCAACTCCCACAGGGGATGGTGGGCTGCACACCCCTACCCACCTGCAACTAGATTGAAAGCGGCGACTGGATTTGAAACTGAACTTGCGCCCTCCACAACTAAGATTGAAGGACGACAACTTGACTTAGAGCTGATGGGTCCTGGAAAAAACACATTGTTCGCCAATAAAGTTTAAAAAAACCCCAAAAACATCATTTTTTAGAAAATATATATTTATAATTTAATATAAATGGTTGTATAAAAACAAAATTTATAAATAATTTTATAAAATTATTATAAAGAGATTAATCTGAGTTAAACCCTAGATTGAGTTCCTTAAGTGTATTATTTTACTTAATCCTTAAAATAATCTGGAGGTATTGATTCTTTAGATGAGGGACCTGAAGCTAGCAAGCAGGAGAGTGAGGGTTCAAAATGACTCATTTAAAAATGAGGGAGCAGAGATTTGTGGAGGTGAAAATTATTTTAGCCAAGCCCAAAGAATTAGTGTAGATAACACATATATAGTGCTTACTATGTATCTGGCATTATTCTAAATAGTTTAGCTATATCACCTCATTTTGTTCTCATGGAAACTCTTCTCACATATCACTACAGTACCAGTCCCACTGTACCCAGCTGTCTCTCAGAATGGAAAAGAATCTACCTTGCCCATTAAAAAAAGAAGCTACATATCTACCATATGTCCAGAAATCTGGATTATGTAAAAGTTATTTTTGAACCAAGGTACTAACCAAGTATTTGCTGAACCTCACTCATTTTATTTGGAAGCAGTTTGGTTGTTGGGGATATACCATAGGTAAGAGAGTTAACTGAGCCCGGTCCTGTAGTCACACGGAATCCCAGGCTACTGAGAATTTAAACCTATAATCCTGGAATCACTATAAAAATAGGATATTGGAATTCGATCCTATGTCTTCTTATATGAGTAATCTTTGAACTGTTAAACTACAATTGATATAAACCAGCCATTCTTGTTACATTGCCATCTTAATACTAACATTTCAATTCCTGCATCACTTTTCATTTGCTGCACAAAATAAAATTACAGCTATGTCTTTGACAACTTGGTAACATATGCCAGCTCCATAGTCTCCTCAATACTATTGTTTTGATGATGTCATTAAGTACCAACACACGTTGCAGTGCTTCTCTTTCTTTTTTTGGGGGGAGTAGCAGTAAGTACTTCATAACCAAAGCAGACAGACTTTCCTTGGTGTGCATGACACTGACACTCTAAGCTCTTATAAATTGTCAACATAAGAATTGTCCACATGAGCATCATTTTTTCAAAGCTTTAACTAAGGACTTAAACAAGGACCCATGTGATTTGATTTGAAGAGAGCGTGTCTCTAAATAGTATATTACTTTGATTCTTCTGGCAAATGCTGGAACATTTTAACTTAATGTATCAGTATTTCACTCATTTGCCTAGCTGCTTGGAAACTAGCATCCAATTATAGTATTTTAATTATTGCTTGTGCCTGGTAACCTCTACTCTCTTTCCTCTCATATCTGTTCTGCTTCTGTATCTTTGATGTTTACAACTCACCTCAAACCCCTTCCCAGCAGATATAGTATAAAGTTCAAACTCAAATTTAGATTTCAGTTTTCTCAGCTTGCTATGTAACTCACTGCAGTTGATTCTTGGGGTTTTCAGTATGGATCCTTGAGTTCCTGTTCACCTTACTGTGTCCTTATCCTTTCTGAGTAGATTGTTTGATGGGAGATCCATGTGCAATGGTGAGTTTCTACCCGAATATTCCAGAAGCTCAGCCACCAATTACCTGTGGAGAATTTGTCTTCCTCATGGACCGCTCAGGAAGTATGAGAGGCCCAATGAGTAAACAGGATAAATCTCAGCTGCGCATAGAGGCAGCCAAGGTAAGACTAGTTCTTTTCTTTTTCTGGTCATATGCTCAAGTGAAGATGAATCTCAGGGGTTAAATTAGGGTCCTTCTGGAACTTTGGGTCTGTTTCATCTGAACTACAGTTAACATGACCACTCTGAGGCTAGCACTGAAATATCAGGGCCTGGAGGCATGATGGGGGTGAAGGCCCATTCCCTTAGGAGTTACATTGGCGGGGTCTGTGTGTCTTAGAGGATCCTCTCTGACCATCTCCTCATCCTCCTTTCAGGAAACACTGATTTTGCTGCTGAAGAGTTTGCCTGTAGGCTGTTATTTCAACGTGTATGGATTTGGATCTTGCTATGAGGCATTCTTTAAGTAAGTTTCTGGAAAGGCCATCAAGAGTCCAAAGAGATACTCTAAAAAAAGGAGGCAAAGGGGTTACTGTAGAGTTGACTTTGGCATTGGGGCTTTCAGGTGAAGTCTTTACAGTAGTGGTATCTCAATGGAGGGACCCAGTATTGGACAATGTCGAGTAGCTATGTCCCTGGGTGTGTTTGTTTTTCTTAGGCGTAGTGTGAAGTACTCTCAGCGTACCATGGAGGAGGCTCTGAGGAAACTTAAAGTTATGAATGCTGACCTAGGGGGCACGGAAATCTTGACACCACTCAAGAACATTTACAGTGGACCTTCCATCCCAGGCCACCCTCTACAGGTAAGAATCAGAACAAAGCTAACAGAAGGGGACCAAGAGAATGAAATCTCTGTTCAAGAATCCATAGCCCTGAGCTTCACTGTAGGATTGTTGAAATATGGTATGTAATTCAGAGTCATCTATCATGTAGTAAAGAGAAAAAGACAAGAGGCATTTAATAGAATTCCTCTTCCGTAGTTCTGTGCTATATACTATGGATGATGGACGTTCTTTTATGGAGTGCCACAGTAGCCTTAGCTGAAACTCGTAGGGGGAGATGATGGAAATTCCCAAGGTTCTGTACAAACCACGTGAGAAAATGGCCCAAGTGACAGTGGACCATTAGGGATCTCATGCCTGTCTGAAGAGGCATCAGAGTTTCTGGAGTGAAATAGTTGGGTTTTTCAAGGGCAAACTCTGTTGTTTTAAAAACAAAATTTGTAGTGACTTGATGAATGTCTTCTTTCTTCAGCTTTTTGTCTTCACCGATGGAGAAGTTACCGATACATTCAGTGTAATTAAAGAAGTTAAGAGCAACAGTCTGAGGCACAGGTATGATGCAAATGTGATTTGTGGGTTAGTGACCCAAGTAGTACCACATGTAACCTGGTGCCATTCCTCTCAGAGGACAGAATCATTCAGAATTTTAGTTTTACCACCCAGCATTTTTTTCTGTATCATTTTTACTTTTCTACTAAAAAATAAAAGTAATTTTCTAAATAGCATCCATAACATAATGATATCATTGTCCCTTACTCTTTCTAAAATACATTGGAAGCAAGTATTGAATAGTAAGCATTTTTTTCTTAGTATGAACATTTTTATCAAAGTAAAACATACAGAAAGCTAGACAAATCATAAGTTTACAGCTGGATGAATTATCAGCATGAGCACACATAGGTCAAGAATTGGAATGATACCAGTACCTTTCCATCTCTACCTTTTCCCATAACATCCCAAATTTAATTACTACCCATTTTTTCCTTTCCAAAGGAAATAGCTTTCCTGAGTTATAATACCATGGATTATTTTTGCTTATTTTTTAATAAAAATAAATGTTATACAGTATGTTTTTGTTTCTGTGTATCTTGCTTCTTTCTCTCAGCAGTATGTTGAGATTCATCCATATTTTTACAGAACCATCTTTAATTTTCATTGGTGTATAGTATTCCATAGGGTGATTAAACCATAATTTATCGATTGATTCTACTGCTGATGGACTTTGGTTTAGCTGTTAAAAATAGTGCTTCTATGAACATCTTTGCATTCTTGTACATGTATTTTTTGCACATACCCACACTTATGTGTGCACATATATATGCATGTATACATGTTTATTTGCACATGTACACACACACACACATTTCTTTGACATAGTTGTGGAATTTATTGGTAATGCAGTTTTGCAAGTTATTATACTAATTTCATTCACACCAGCATTGTATGAGGTTTCCAATCACTCCATTCTCTATCCAAAATTGGGCATTGTTTGTCTTCTTAAATTTTAACCAATTTAGTGGGTGTGTGGTGGTATCTCATTAAGGTTTTAACTTGCATTTTCTTGGTGACTCCTGAAGTTGAACACCTTTTTATATTTATTGACCACTTGGATGTCCTCTTTTATGAAGTACCGTCAAGTCTCTTCAATATTTTTCTTTTTTTAAAAAACCAGATCTGTAGTTCATTCTGTAGTCTAGATGTAAGCACTTTGTTAATATTTCCCAGAAACTTATTTTTTACTCTTTTTCACTCTTAAAATGGTATTTTTAAAATTAATAGTTGTTCTTCATTTTAATATAGTTTAATTTTTTAGTGTTTTTCTTTACGGTTAGTCTTTTTTGTATCCTGTTAAAAAGCCTTTTTCCTCCTCAACGTCATGAAGCTATTTTCCTGTGTTATTCTCTAGAAGTTTTGTTACTTTTTTCTTTTACAGTTAGATCTACACTTCACCTACATTTCATTTTTGTGCATTGTGTGAGGTATGGGTCAGGTTTCATTTTTTTTTTCATGTGGATATGAAATTGACCCTGCATCATTTATTGAAAAGTTTTTCCTTTCCTCACTGATGTGCAGTGCCATTTTTGTCACAAATAAGCATTTACACATTTGTGGATTTTTTTGGATCCTCTGTTCCATCCCATTGGTCTATGTATCTAGAAAAGTGCCCGTACTACATCATGTAAATTAATGAGCTTTCTGATAAATCTTAATTTCCAATAGAGTAAGGCCTCAATTTTTCAGGATTGTCATATCTATTCTTGAATCTTTGTGTTTGTATTTGTCAATTTTTACCAAAAAAAGGAAAACTATTGAGATATTGATTAGAATTGCCTTTATAGATCAGTTTTGGGAGAGTTGAGTATTTGCTCTATTTAGTATTCCAGTCTATTTAAATGGTACATCCTTCCATTTATTTAGGTTTTTCTTGATTCTTCTAAGTGTGTGTTTCCAGTATTGTATTAAAAAATTTTAAACGATAGAGAAATTGTAAGAATAGAACAGTAGACCCTCATGTACCTTTCACTCAGGTCCACTAGTTATCAGCATTTTACCACATTTGCCTCACCTATTATTTTTTATCTGAACTGTTTGAGAATAAGTCACAGATATCTTAAACCTTCATATGCAAATAATTATGCTCTCATCTAAGAACAGGGCATCTTGATAAATAACCAAAATAAAAGTTCAAAATTCAGGATATTTAATGTTGAGATAACAACATTATGTAAATATAGTCCATATTTGCCAATTTTTCTAATAATGTCCTTTATACATTTTTGTTTGGTTTGGTTTGGTTCCAGGAGCAAGTATTTTATTTCATTGTTATATCTCTAGTCTTCTCTGGGATAATATCTCAGCTTTTTATTATTTTTCACTGACATTTTGAAAGAGTACTAGCTAGCTATCTTTATAGACTCTCAATTTATGTTTGGTTTTCTAAATTCATGTTTAGATTAATATTAAACATTTTTAGAAGGAATATTCCAAAAGTAACTGGGCCTGATATTAAGTGTGACCAGTTAAAGGTGGTATCTGATAACTGAAATTTTGTGAACAACCTGTTCTCAACAAATATTTACTCAGTAGTTTTAGCATTCACTGATGATTATTGCCCAAGTGCTATTACTATCAGTGGTTATAAAATGGTGATTTTTAAATTCTGTCAACTTTTCCATAGTTATTAGTTGTCATCCTACTATAAAGAAGTTAGCCCTTACCGCCTGCTTCCTCCTTCCCTCTCTTCCTTTGTTGTGTCAATATGTACTTTTGAATTCTTTCATTACCTCCCAGTTCTTTGAGATTCATTACTCTCATCATTCATTTAGATTCTCAAAAGCTCCGAATTTGGCCAGTGGGAACCCCTTTTAACTTGCTCCTATGTCTTTTTCACATAATTCTTTGGTTTATGAATATTTTCTTTCTTTCTTTAAAAAAAAAAAGTGTTTCAGACTCACCTGTACTTTCCCGTTCTTTTAACCAGCCATTTCTATAAGAAGCCTTGTTCCTTTTAGTGAAAATGATAAATAGAAGTTAGGTGTAACTCTTTGCTACTGGCCTGTTATTATTCTAGGCATTTTCAGCAGACAGACCTAGCAAATGATTAAGAAAAACAAATTTCTACTGATACCCTTACTTTCTTTTTTCTCCTATTCCATATTTGTGTTTTCTTTCCTCCATGGTGAGAAACCTGGCTTCCCACAAAATCAGTAAAATTATTAATTTCCTTAATATGACAATACACATAAAATCTCTCTGCAATGTTTTTAAAAAAATTTTATTAAAATACAGCTAACATACAATATTGTATTAGTTTCAGGTGTACACCATAGTTAATATTTATGTACATAAAGAAGTGATCACCATGATAAGTCCAGCAACCATTTGACACTGTACCATGCTATCACAATATTATTGACTGTATCCCCTATGCTGTACGTTACATGCCTAAGTCTCAGTTGTTTTACACCTGGATATTTGAACCTCTTATACCCCTTGACCTTTTTCCACCTTTTTTTAGTTTTTCAATTACTGTTGACATTCAATATTATTTTATGTTACTTTCGGTGTACAGCATAGTGGTTAGACATTTACGTAATTTATGAAGTAGTCCCCCTGACTAGTCTAATACCCACCTGAAATTATACATAGTTATTAACCTATTATTCACTATATTCCATAGGCTTTGCTTTACATCCCCATGCCTATTTTGTAATTACCAATTTGTAGTTCTTAATTTTTTTACCTTTTTCACCCTGTCCCCCATCTCCCCTCTCATCTGGCAACCAACAGCTTGTTCTCTGCATCTATGAGTCTGTTTCTGTTTTATTTGTTTGTTTATTTTGTTCTTTAGATTCCACATATAAGTGAGATCATATGGTATTTGTCTTTCTCTATCTGACTTATTTCACTTAGCGTAATACCTTCCAGCTTCATCCATGTTGTCGCAAATGGTAAGATTTCATTGTTTTTTATGGCCCAATAATATTCCATTGTGTATATGTACCACCTCTTCTTTATCCAATTGTCTGTTGACAGGCACTTGGGTTACTTCCATATGTTGGCTATTGTAAATAGTGCTGCAGTGAACATAGGAGTGTATATGTCTTTTTGAATTAGTGTTTTGGATTTCTTTGGATAAATGCTCCTAAGTGGAATTGCTGGGTCATAAGGTAGTTCTGTTTTTAATTTTTTGAGGAGCCTCTATACTGTTTTCCCAAGTGGCTGCACCAATTTGTAATCACACCAACAGTGCATGAAGGTTCCTTTCTCTCCTCATTCTCACCAATACTTATTGATTTATTGATGATGGCCATTCTGGCAGGTGTGAGGTGATATTTCTGTGCTTTTAATTTGCATTTCTCTGATGATTAGTGACATTGAGCATCTTTTCTTATGTCTATTGGCCATGTGTATGTCCTGTTTGGAGAAATGTCTATTTAGGTCCTCTACCCAAATTTTAATTGGATTGTTAGGTTTTTTTGGTGTTAAGTTGCATGAGTCCCTTATAAATTTTGGATATTAACCCCTTATTGGATAAATTGCAATGTTTTATAATTCTCTTGTGTAGAGGTCTTCATGAGTTTTTCATTAGATTTTTTTTCTTAGGTATTTGATGCTATTTTGAATAGTATTTTTAAACATTTTATTTAATAGATGTTTATTTTTACATAGAAATTGATTATGATAGCTTATTAAATTTATGTTGACCTTTTATTCAATGACCTTGCCTGATGTGAATATTACTTCTAATAGTATATTTATAGATTCTTGTAGATTATCGATGGATAATCATGTTTGCAAATAATGTCAGTTTTTCCTTTCCAATCCTTATATCTTTATTTTTCTTCCTTTCTATATTGCCCTGGAAAGGGCCTCTAGTAAAAGCCTGAATAGAGGTGGTTAATAGCTGACATCCTCACCTTATTTTGGACTTCAGAGGGAACATGTTTAACATTATATCAATAGTGTCATTGTTTGCTATAGGTCTTTTTGTAGATATACTGTATCAGATTAAGGAATTTTCCTTATATGTCTGTTTTGAGAGCTCTTTTTCTTTAAAAAAAGTAATGAATGGTTGTTGGATTTTATCGAATGCATTTTATGTATCTGTTGAGATGTGTATGATTTTATCCTTTTTTCTTGTAATGTGTGAATTATAATGACTGTTCTTACATGTTAGACCAATCTTGCATTTCTGAAATAAACCCAAACTAGTTGTGACCTATTAACCTTTTTCATATATTTTTGATTCAGTTAGTAATTGTTTAGGATTTTTAGGATTTAGGATTTTTAAATCTATTTTCATGGGAAATATTGACATTTTTTGTTATAATGTTCTTGTTGGGTTTTGATACCAATTTTATGCTGGCATCATAAAATGAGGTGAGAAGTGTTGCCTGTTTTTCTATTATCTGAAAGATTTTCTTTCATATTTGCTATAAATTGCCAAGAGACTTTTCTGTGGGAAGGTTTTGAAATCTCTTTAATTGAAGTAGAACTATTCATATTTTTATATATTCATTTTTATGAGAGTTTGTATATTTTATCTAAATTTTCAAATTTCTTCGCATGAAATTATTTCTGATGGTGCATTATGATGTTACCAAGTTTTATAGAATAGATCAGAGTATTCTCTTTGCATTCCTGATGTTGGATATTTGTGCCTTCTCTGTTTTTCCCCTTGGCCTAAATGTTTGCCAGTTTAAATAATCTTTTCAAAACACCAGCATTTTTGAGTTTGTGGATCCTCTCCATTGTACAATATAATTGTTTTCTGTATAAATAATGTTTGCTCCTATCTTTGTTACTCCCTTTCCTTTAAACTTTTTGGGTTTATTGGCTGTTCTTTTTCTAATACCTGGAGATGGATGCTCAAGTAGTTGATTTTTAGACTTCTTTTCCTTTCCTAATATATGTATTTAGAACTACAAATTTAAGTATATCTGTAGCTGCATCCTAAATTTGTATACATCATTTTTCATTGGTATCCACTTGAGAATATATATATTTTTAAAGATTTTATTGGGGAATTGGGGGAGGGGAATAGCGTTGGGAATTCAGGGAAGGGGAACAGACAAGTTGCTGTCCTTTTGTTCTTCTGTCTAGTTGTGGAGGACGTCGCTTCACTGGCCCATGTTGGTATTATCAGTGCACACTTCCCAGGTGAGGCAGTCACTCACCGGCCATTAGATGGCCACTCACAGCGGCTCATGGGCAGCTCACGAAAGCACACGCCAGCTGCCGGCCAGCCCCACTGCAGCCTATGCCGTTGCCGGCAGCAACTCACGGCAGACCAGCTCCTGGTCGAGCTGTTGTTCACTATCTTAGCTGTAGAGGGCACAGTGTCATTGGCCGTCATGTGGGATCCGAACCGGGGCCCTGCTGCGCAGAGCTGGCATCCTAAGCCAACTCTTAACCAACGTGCCACTTGGCTGGCCTGAGAATATTTTTAATTATCATTATGATTTCTTTTTAAAGCCTATGTTATTCAGACATGTGTATAATTTTCCATATTTTTGTGTTTTCTATTTCTTTGGTTTTGCCAGATATTTTATGTGAAAAATTGTGGCAATTCTTTGAGCATCTAGATGATATCTATCTATCCTCTGAAAGGATTTACTCTGCTTCTGACAGGTTGCTAGACTAGAAGCAGATAATCTTAGTCCAATTAGAGTTTAATAAGCTTCAATTATTTAATGGCTGTTTTATTTCGGATTCACCTCTACCTCTAGGGTAGTTCTACAGGCTTGTATTAAAAACAAAAACAAAACCAAACAAACAAAAAAAACTTGAGTGTCTACCAGAGCATCTTCTCTTTGGAAAGCCCAAATCTGAAAGTGTTTAGCTTTTCAACCTTTCAGTCATCCATTTTGTACTTGGCACTTGCTTCAAGGGGTAAAGTGATACCAGATGCCAGGCTCACCTCTCACCTCTCTTGGCTTTCCTCCTCTCCCAGATATTATTATATTCTTGGTAGCCTTCTGATGATTTCAGAGATTATTTAAAATGTTGTGGGTGCTGGCCGAGTGGCTCAGTTGGTTAAGAGTTAGCTTAAGTGCATGAGATCTGAACAACAGGGCTGCTAGTTCGATTCCCACATGGGCCTGTGACGCTGCACCCGAGCTGAGCTGCTGCTGAGCTGCCAACAGGTGGCAGGTGGCTGAGCTGCCAACAGCTGGTGAGAGCTGCCTGTTTGATGGTGGGCTATGCCCACTTGCAACTAAAACTGAACTCTGCATCTTGAGCTGAGCTGCCGCCCGGATGGCTCAGTGGATAGAACACGCACTCTTAACAACAAGGCTGCTGGTTTGACTCCCGCATGGGATGGTGGGTTTGCCCACCCACAACTAAGATTGTAACACAGCACCTAAAACTTAGAGGCCACGAGCTGCTGACGGGCAGCCAAATGGCAACTGACGCTCTCCACAACTAAGATTGAAGAAGAATAACTTGGCTGGTCCCCCTCCACAATTCCCCAACACTGTTCCCCTCCCCCAATTTCCCAATTTTAAACAAACAAACAAACAAACAAACAAATAAATAAATTCAGGTTTAAAAAAAATGTTGTGTACAGCTTTTCTAGTTCTCTCCTGGCTTGGAACAACTTAGTCTAGCATTGCTGTGAGCAGAACTCTCCTAGGGTATTATACTTTAAGGCAGATGTCATCTATTTAAGTACCAGTTTCCCTGCTTGTTAGCTGTTTGGACAAATCAACTAAACTCTTCAAACCTCAGTTTCCTTACTTGAAAATGGAGATAATAATAGTACTTATAGGTTTACTGTGAGGGTTAAAAGAGTATACCTAAGGAAAGCATTAGGAACTGTGCTTGACACAAAATAAGTGCTATATAAATTTTTGCCATTATTCTAATTATTATCCTTATTATTATCACCCACATGAAGCACTTAAGTAAGTTCTAGGCATGTAGTTGGCCATCAGTAAACATTATTTAACTTTATATATGAGATAAAAACACACACTCTTAAACATATACATCAAAGCCCTTTATAAGCCATAAATAATAATAGGCTACAGTTCAAAAATCATATTGGAAATTTAAAAGTGATAATATCAAGACGCTGGCAGGCTGTGATCTCTAGGGAACATTATCCAGTTAGGTCACCATAATTAAATGTCTGGCTCTTAACCCTACAAGTTTAGAGCATTAATACTGATGCTGATGTCACTAGATTTGGGGACGATGACTCACACTAACCCAGTTCAGAAGAGACTGATACATAAGCCCAACTCACAGGGGACGAATTTACAATGAGAACCATCCTTTTCATGCCTTCAAAAATGCTTGTATTAGTCTTACCTACATAGTCTTTGTTTATAGACAGTTCTATTTAGAAAGCCAGATTGTGATTAAATGCTATTTGGTGCACATGGGCTAAGGCAGGGAGAGAACTCTCCAGTTAGAGAGCAGGAGGCACTCTTTCTCATCCTAAGGCTGTCCTTGCCAGGGCAGATATGGTTTCAGAACAATATTAATCAAGCACTGATGATAGTGTCTATTTTTTCTTAATTCTCCCACTTTCTGATTAACCCATTCTTTGGATTATTAAAATAACTGATGAGGATGTAGTCCTATTATTTTCTTTATTATTATTATTATTTTTGCTTTTAGAATCAGTATAATATATAATCATTTGCCAAGGGGATCATATAGACAGAACAGTGCTCAAATGCCAGCTCTATCATTTAGAAGTATGGGATCTTGGACAGAGTTCTAAAATTCTTTGTGCCTCCGTTCCTTATCTGCAAAATGAAACATAAACCTGCCTCCTAGGAGTCTTGTGATGATTAAGCTGCATCATTAATTTAAGGCATTTGGCCTCCTGAAATATAGAATATATTCAATAAATGGTAGCTATTATGTATTTTTGACTATTATGTGTTGATTTTACAATTTCACACCTTAGTCCCTGTCTCTCACTTCTACTTTATAATTGCAGATGTTTCTCATTTGGTATTGGAGAAGGAGCCTCCACCAGCCTAATAAAAGGCATTGCCCGGGTATCAGGCGGTGCATCAGAATTTATCACAGGCAAGGAGAGGATGCAGGCCAAGGTGAGGGACAGGCCTTGTGTCCAGAAGTGATGGTCCAGAGCGAGTGTGAAGTTGGGGGTGCACTGCTGCAAGGTCAGAGGCAACAGCTTGCCTCCAGGATTCTTTTTTCTTTTTATCCTCAAGGCTTTGGACTATATACTTAGTGGGGCTACTTTGGACCTTGTGTAAAAGGGGTCCACTGCCCTAGTATTTGGAAACCTAGCATCTGGTTCTAGTATTTGGAAACCCAGAGACAAGGTGCTGGAAGAGCTTAGTGCTTTGTGTTTAAGACCAGAAACAGAGAAACTAAGAATTTTGATTGTCATGATTGACATTCTAGGTGTGTGCTTTAGGACCTCTTTTGGAACTATAGCCTGTCCTCCATGCAAATGATACAAAGAAAATGGGAAGGGACGATTGTAATATGTCTGATAGATTGGAATAGGTGGTAAATTGGTACTCCATTTGATTTAGTATGTACAAGGGAAGGCATCTTCCACCAATGGTTATGTTTATAAATCCCTCTTTTCCAATTGGTACCATTTTTTATCAGATCCTACTTCTCTAGGGTCTCCTCACGTGTAAAGCAAAAGTAATAATGCCCACCTCCTAGTATAGTATTAAGGAATAGACATAATGAGTATTATGTCACATAGCATCTGGTGCAAAAAAAATATTCAGTTAGTAGTAGTTATTGTTGCCATTATTATTTTTGGTGCTTATTTTGTTCTCTTTCATCAGGCTCTTAGGGCTCTGAAACGTGCTCTGCAGCCTGTAGTAGAAGATGTTTCTCTGAGCTGGGATTTGCCTCCTGGTCTCTCTGCTAAAATGCTTTCCCCAGAACAGACTGTCATCTTTAGAGGTCAGAGGTTAATCATCTATGCCCAATTGACTGGGATGATGCCGGTGAGTTTTCCTTCTTTTTTGTTCCTCTAGTCAGAGTAGCTACTGCCCTAAACTCTGTTTTGGATAATTTCATTAAAGCTGGTAGGATCTCCTCAAGAGATCGCACTTGCCAGACAGAGTCAGTCTACCCCCTTCTCCATCATGTCAGTTCCTGAGCTACATGGTTTTTAGTGAGAAATTTTAATATGTTGGGTTGGAAAACTGCCCCAATTTTGACATTTTTCCTGGTGATCTCTCCCTTCTATCATTTCTATTCTTCTCTAATTTGTAGCCAGCAGAGGCAACAGGAGAAGTTTGCCTCAAATACACCCTCCAGGGCAAGAGTTTTGAGAATAAAGTGACATATTCTCTACAACCCAAGTCTGATGCCAAGTGAGAATTCAGTTTTCCTTTGCTCGTTCTTTTCTTTCTTTCTCTCTTTCTTTCTCTTTCTTTCTTTCTTTCTTTCTTTCTTTCTTTCTTTCTTTCTTTCTTTCTTTCTTTCTTTCTTTCTCTTCCTTCCTTCCTTCCTTCCTTCCTTCCTTCCTTCCTTCCTTCCTTCCTTCCTTCCTTCCCTCCTTCCCTTCTTTCTTTCTTCTCTTTTTTTTCTTTCCCTTCCCTTCCCGTCCCGTCCCATCCAGTCTCTTTTCTTTTCTTTTCTTTTCTTTTCTTTTCTTTTGACTCTGCAATTTTGGGGGTTGTTTTCCTGCTCTTAATTTGGGGCTCAATTGTTTCCCAAAATTTTTTTCTTTTTTTTTTTTAAGCCACCCATATTTTACCTCTCCCCTTATCTGGCTTTTTCTCCCCTAACTTTTACTGTACATGTGTGCTTTTCCCTAAGTCACAGGAATTTTTTTTCCTTTTAGCCTTACCATTCACCGTCTTGCCGCCAAGTCCTTTCTCCAGACCAAGGACATGGGCTTCAGGGAGACTCCAGCAAATGATAAAAAAGATGTGTTAAAAGTCAGCATTGAGTGTGGAGTCATAAGCTCCCACACAGCTTTCATTGCCATCAACAAGGATCTCAACAAACCAGTTCAGGGCCCCCTGGTTCGTAGGGACATTCCAAGGCCAATTCTGTTGTGTGCTTCTGCTATGATGCCTCGTGGAGGTGGTGAGTTTTAACCCATTCAGGCTCATAAAATAAGGAACCCTGGATATTTGAACACATCATTCGAAGGAAATGTTTATGAAAGGTTCTTTTTTTTTCTTGTCCTTCCACATCTAGGATTTCTGGCTGGTGTCAAACTTTTCTGTCCTAGAGAATTAGAATATATGCCATTGGCAAAGAGATTTAAAGTAATTCAAGGGGGTGGGGGAGAAATGAGGAAAAATGAAACAGAAAGTGCACATAAACATTGAGTAGTTACACTGTCTAAATCTGAAGCTGATTCATCCTATTAATAATTAGATGGTTAATGTTTACACAAATGGCTGATGAACAACCTGGTAGTATTAGGAAATAGGTGGGAGTCTTTCTGGCATAAACCAAGCAAGCTTTATTATAGACATTAGGGACTTAAGAGTTAGAACCAGGTGGAGAAATTTTCTGGGTAGGTCTCTGTGGCTGGTGGCGGATGTTATGATGTTCTAGAGGCAGGCTTCAAGGGGATCCCAGATTTTTGGTGGATGATGGTACCATTTATTTAATAGAGTAACAAAAGAACAGAAGCAAGTATAAGGGATAAAATGGTGAATTATTTTTGAGCATTTTAAACTTTAGATCCCTATGGAATATCCATATGAAGATATCTGGTGGACAGGGAGATAGATGGGTTTGATGTTCAGAAGAGAGGTCAGGGATAAAGATATACATTTGGCAATATTTAACATGTAGGTAAATACAGTCATGAGAATGGATGAGATTATTCAGAGGGCAAGCATAAAGTGAGATGAAAATGGAGATGAGACTGAAACACTGAAAAATACCTAGTATCTAGGGATGGATTCCCCAAACCATGATAAAAAGGAATAAAGTAGGAAGAAAAGAAGTGAGTGCATATTCAAAACAAAAAGAAACTATGACATGAGAAATGGAGTTATCAAAGTATCAGATTCTGCAGAGATGTCAAAGTAAAATTGAAAAATGTCTGGTGGGTTAATATCAAAGAAGTCCTTAATCTAATCAAGACCAATTTCACTGGCTTAGATCAGGAAAGAGTCTGTATTATACAGTCTTAAAAAGCAAATGAGAGGTGGAAAATTAAGGGCAACTTATATAGACTATTTTTTATAAATATTGAAAAGGGTAAGGAATAGAGAGTGATATCTATAGAAGTTGTAGAGCTGAGGTTTGTGTGTGTGTGTGCATGTGTGCGTGTGTATGTGTGTGTGTTTTATATCTCTTTAAAATTTCAGAATGGGAGACATTTAAGGATGCTATAATGCTAATAGGAAAGTGCCTTTAGAGAGGGTTGACAATATTGAGGGAGGAGTTAATTGAGAAGGGTGTTTGAGGAAGTGAGAGAGGATGATCTAGAATAGCAGTGAAGCTATTAGCCTTTAGTGTATTAGGACTTTCTCCTCCCTATCACCAGGAAGTGGAGGAAAGGTGATGGGATTAGATTTAGACCATAGGCTGAAAAGCAAGTTTTTCGAGTTTCTGTCTGATAGTTTTTCTATAGTTTTCGTGAAAGAGGTAGCAAGATTAGCTAATGAATATGAGACTAGAGTGGTAGAACAGAGAATTTGAGGAAAGGGTTTGAAATAATCCTGTGGAAAATTGGAGAGTGAAATACTCGCGGAGAAACAGAGCATTTGTCAAGGAGTGTTGAGGGTCCAGTTTAGTTTTGACACCTTGACTTTTTTAGTGGCACAAAACTACTAAAGGGAATCAGTTTGTGGCTCATTTCAGCAGTACTCAGCAGCTTTGGTATAAGAAAGAAGAGAGTGGAGGTGTTGGCTTAATTTCGAGTTTGGGGTTTTGCCAGATGGGTGTGTTAAAAAGAAAATTAGGGATATGGAATTGAAGATATTGATAAGAGAGCAGTAAAGTGTTGGACTTGAGGTTTACCGTATTTTGCCGTATAGAATATGTACTTTTTTGCCCAAATTTACGAGGGGAAAATAAGGATGCACTTTATACATGGGTAGTGTTAATTCCATATCTATATAAATGTTTTTATTCTTTTATTTATGCTTATGAGTTAAAAGTGTAACTCTAGAAATCAATAACGATATCGGTATGCAAAATAATACCCTGAAATACAATAATTGGTTTTGTTGAGCTTACAATGAACTTGCAATGATGAAGAGTTCTTGGCCCTCTATGATGCATAAATATTATAAATTTGTTACCGGTACATAAAATTTCATGTACCTTGTACCTGTTCTTGTATTTTGTAGTTATTCATTACATAAAATTTCTTGTACCATAATGTGTTAAAAAAATGCTAAAATTCCTTTATAATACAAAAAAAGGTACCTAAATGTAAACAAATAAAAACTTGAATTAAAAAATTAAAAGTTTGGGCCAAAAACGTGGGTGTGCATTATACACGGCAAAAAAAATGGTAGGCTAATTAGAAAAGAGCAAAGATAGAAAGAAGTTTTTATATAGGAATAAACAGACAAATATTTAGAAGTCCAGATGAGGTCAAAGACCAGGTAAAATAGGACTCTCTGAGTTAGAAAGCTGGAAAAAGTAGATACTGTATTTTAAAAGTAGACTTTTTTTTTCAATTTATTTTTTTTTATAGGTGGAACAATTCTGCTTGATAACAATATCCAGGCTTGGGAGGGAGTGGCTGAAGTAGAATGGATGCTGAAGCCTTTTAATTTGAGGAAACCAAGAAGCTTTGAATTAGGGTGTTCAATACGTTATCTCCATGGGTACTTAATTTCTCAAGATGATGGCAGGCCTTGCAATAAAATGGAAGTCTTTGATTAGTTTTTAGATACTTCAGTGAATGATGGAAAGTGACAAAGGGGTTGGAGGTTGACAGCATTGAGGATATGAGAAAGGTAATCCAGGTGAGGGTGGAGGAGTAACGATATGCATGTGGCAATTGGGAGTGAAGAGGTTGCCAACCCTATTTCCCAAACCTGGGTACTTGGAGTATGGTACCTTAAACAACCACCATTTGAGAGGGATAGAGGGAGAAAAGTTTCTTGGAAGGAAAAATTAAAGTTAACCTAAATATTTGGAAGAAGCCTCCTATAATGAAACTGGAGATGCAAAAACGATCATTGTCATGTATCAAGAGGGCGCAATAGAAAGGGCTCAGAGGGTGAGAGTGTGTGCAGGAGTTGAGCTCATGGGAGAAGAAAAAATGAACAATAAAGATGGTAACTGAGGTTGACTCAAATCATCAGAGCCCTTTGCCTACAGCAGAGAGCAGAGGGTGCCTCAGTGTCAGTGTCTGTACTGATGTTTTTCAGTTTATACAACGTCCTCATCCTCCTACCGTCCTGCATCCCGGCCCACGAGGAGCACTCCCTGCTACTCAAGCATGTCATACCGGCAGAATCGTTATGATCCCCATATGTCCACCATTAGCAAGAGCCTGTATTCGCTAGGTGAGCATCTTTCCAGGGACTTTTTCTCATCAATGTTTGTCACACATATAGGACTAGGCAAACACCAAGCTCTTGGTGGTTATAAAACAAGGAGGAAATGCACGCTTCTCACACAGACCTCTCCTGAGATGCCAATGGCTCATTCTTCCACCAACATGACCAACTTGGAAACTCACCATACAGGTGAGATGGGCCTCAGTTCTCTGATCTATGAGGACTGAAGAACTAATCTTCAACACTCTGCTATCTTGCAGCTTTCTCTACCCAGGAGGTAATCTGTTTGAAAAGTGTCAGGCAGAGGGTGAAATCTGTCCAGTCCCTATATTTAACAGGGTCATCCCAGCTCCAGTAGTCTACACTATAGGATGTGGAACTTACCCCAGTGGAGTCTGGGTTGAGCCCTAATTATCTAACCCCTCTGCCATCTCAGCTCACAAACCTTGCCTATTGGCTGGCGCCCTCCTCCTGCAGAACTCAGCTGCCCCCTTGTGGGGCCCCTACTGCATTGATCATTCCTTTACAAGTTGGGTTTGAAGACAGATCTTCCCTGATGTTGTCTGATGATATTTTGTCTGTCACCAAATGGTGTTCCTTGGTCATTGTCTTGTGTTCCAAGCAGCTGGGCTTTTCATGTGCATGACAAATTGAGTCAAAGTACATTTCACCACTAAGGGGTTCTTTTTCTACTAAAATAAGTTTAGAGGTAACTCCTTTTTCATCTCTCCATTTTTTATAACAAGAGTTTATGATGTACTAATTGTTTAACTTTTTAAACATCTCCTTTGCCTCTTATTGTCTACTTATTCTCCTTAGGCTGCTAATTAAAGAGAGGGCTTCGAGGTATAAGATAGATCCAGATCTCTGTACTCCCAATTACTGTGGGGTTTTAAGCAAATTACTGCACTTCTCAGAGCCTTAGTTCCCTCAACTGCACAACTGTTCACCTCCTAGGCTTGTCATGAGAACCTTCTTAACATAATCCATGGAGTCTGTTCTCAGTTTGTGTTGGTTTCCTGAGCTGTCCTAATATGCATTAACTTGGAATATCCCCACTTTAGCTCTCTCTGTCTTATGGATCCTCTCACAAAAGTAGAAAGAAAAATTACCCAGCAGTGTTATGCTGCTGATTTTTGTGAATTAATTGGCAGTTACTATTTGTAGGGAGCCAATTATGGGCCTTCTAGATACTTTATATTCTTTCGCATGCATCAGGCATTATTGCCTCCAATTTACTGAGAAGGCTGAGATTCCCATTGGTTAAATAGCTGTTACATTTTGAGTATTAGCAGAACTGAGATTCAAACTCAGACTCTTGAAATCAGAGCCTTAGATTTTTTTTCCCATTAGAGTAGAACTGTTTTTCTAGTTACAGGTTTTTTTTGCCTACTAATTTCTAAGTTGCTCTAAGTGTATCATCCCATATGATAGCCAGATGTGAGATACTTTCTATGAAAAATACTTTGGTCTTTAAGCAATTTTTATACCACCAAGATTAGACATTAGACAGTAGACTATTCTTTGAGATAGATTGCTGACTGCTTCCTTTTTCTGTTTTCTTTTGAAATTTTTGATAATTAAAATTCAAGCTATATTTGTCTAGAGCTTTTTAATATACCTAAAGTTTTAAGCGTTCTTTAAACAGGACTGGATAAGACTTTAAACAGCACCATCATGTAGGTTCTTTGTACCCCATATCTTTCTCTTGTTGCTGAATTTTATAAGTGTAGCTCCTCTAGTGTTAAGGCATCACTCAGGTGGCCTACGTTGTCACAGAGAAAATGCGTGTGTTCCAGGGGAAGGACTGAAATGGGGATCTTCGTAGGATCTGCTTAGCTCTGCACACTTGCTATATACAGCCTGTCTTTGAATTCAGACCTTTCTCACTCAGGTGGTTCTAAGGGGCCAGAAGCTCCTTAATTTCTCATCCTCTTTCTTTTTTCTTCCCTAAAGTCTTCGGTGATAATCATCTTGTACAGCTGATTTCCCTCCAAAAAGCAGATGGTTCCTGGGATCTGAATGAAGGTCTGGCCATGGTTCTAGGTATGAATTTGGAAGATATACTGGCTGCGCTCCCTATCCAGGTGAGATTCAGAGAAGAAAATGGAGTATGTATCTTTGAGAGGTTGGGGTCAGTAAAGAGAATTGGGGTGAATCATGACTCACCTAAAGAAGGAGAATATAGAAGGCCATAGATTAAATTAATTTCTAATAAATAGAAGTTGAAGATTTTTCTGGGTAGGTTAGAGCAGAAGGGACAAAGAACTAATGGTCTAGCTAGAAGGTGTTCATGGTTTTGAGTTGATGGGTGACAAAGGGAAAGCAAAAATCCTCTTCCACTTTAACTGCATTTCCTGCCAATCATCTTAGTTATAATAACTAGTGTTTATTGAGCAATTACTCTGTGCCAGGCACTATGCTAAGCATTTAACATTCATGATCTTATTTATTCATCACAATAATTAAATAAGGTAAATCCTATTCACGTTGCTATTTATAGATGAGGAAACTGAAGCCCACAAAAGTATAATAATGTGTCTGAGTTGATCTAGCCAGTCAGTGGCAGAGCTGGATTCAATTCTAGGACTATCGGTCTTCAGAACCTACATTATTGCTCCTCTTACTAAAGAAAGTGGTCCAGAAATTAGCAAAATTTTATTCAAGTTAGGGTAGGTGAAGTATGAATAGGGATGACTAGCTATTTCAAGTGTGTTCAAGTCTGTTGATGAAGAGAAATTATGTTCTAGAATTTCAAGGTAACTTGTTAAATTTACTAAATGAAATGTTGTTAAATATAAGACAAATGCCAAAAGGCTGAAGGTCAAGTGTCATTCTGAATTTACAAAATGTGGATGGTGATTAAATAAAATCAGATAGCCTATAACTACATTGTCTAATACAGTATCTACTAGTCACATGTGGCTATTAAGCTTTGAAAATATGGCTACTGCAAATGAGGAACAAAATTCTTAATTGAATTGAAGTGTGCTGTAATTATGAAATACATACTGATTTAAAAAAATGTAAAATATTTCATCAATAATTATTTTTATATTGATTGTATGTTAAAAATGATATTTTAAATAGATTAGGTTAAATGAAATCTATTAGTAAAACAATTATACTTCCTTATTTTTACATTTTTACAGGTGGCTACTAGGACACTTAAAATTTTATGTGTGTTTAGCACTATATTTCTATTGAAAAATACTGCTCTAGAACCAATAATTAAAGGGATAATTTATAAACAATTTATTAATTTAATTAATAAATATAATTAATTTATAAGCCATTAAAAGAAGATATAAAGATCATGAAGTTCTAACTTGGCATCATTCAGAACAAGACATGTCAGACTAGCATTTTCTTCTTTCACATGGTAACTGTGCAAGTAAATCAAGGCAATCAAGAGCCCTGGTCTATCTGAATTTCAGTAAGGAATTTGAATTTCTCTTGATGAGTATATGGATTGAGTACAGACTAGCTGAAAACTCACAGCACTGAATCATGAATTTATTCAAATTTAAAACAGATTTCTAGACCCACCAGGCTCTGAATTCTCTGGAGGTTCATATTTTCAATGAATATTTAGATGAAGATGTTGACCAATGCTTTCCTATTTGTGTATGACAAAACTGGGAGATAGAGTATTAGACAAGAAAATTAGGATCCTCAAAAACCTTGAACAATGACTTGAAATTTTCTATGAAAAAATTTAATAGGAATAAAAATACTGTTTTTCATTCTAAATTCTCAACTATACAAGTAGAGAATAGAAGCAAAATGACTTAAGAGCTGTTGTACATGAAAACCAGAGATTTTAGGTAACCACAAACAGAATGAATCACATGTTTGAAACATGATTAGTGGCGGGCAGTAGCATTGTGAGAAAAGCTATATGCATTATATATTTTTGGGCTGGGGTCATAAAATTTCATAAGTACATTTACCACCAGGTGTGACATTTAAGGAGATATGTTTCAGAAATCACTGTGATGTTTGTTTCTAGACTAGGAGAACAAACATGAGGATTCTTACTGCTTTGACATAAGTAGTCCTCTTAAGGAAGAATTAAAGGAATTGAGAAGTTTGATCTGAAACAATACTACTCAGAAGACATGAGAGCTTTTTTCAAATTTTAAAGGTCATGATGTATAAGAGGAATTTCTCTTGATCCATTCTTGATCCATTGTCTCTAAAAACTGGAGTTGGGAGCTGTGGGTGAAAACTCATGGGAGCCCATTTTCTGTTCTATTGGCTGAGACTTTCTGTTGAGCAATGACTTGAATCTGGATATTTGGTCTCCAGTGCCAGCTCTGTCATTTCCTAGAAGGCTAACTTCGGACAAATTATTTCATTTTTGTATGAATCAGTTTTCTCTCTTAAAAATGTGGTTATTAATAATAATTTTTGTTTGTTTTGTTTTGTTTTTGTGAGGGTTCAACTAAAAAAACCATGAAGATGATTTATAAATATAAAACAACTGTGCATGGGTTTCTTTTATCACAGCAGGCTGATCCTTGTTGGGGGTGTTTTAGGAGTGTCAAGCACTGTCCTGATAGTTACACTAAATTTAGATCATAAGACCTTTCTACCCTATGATTCAGTAGATTGTTGCCCTGAGGTTTAGCGCCTGGCAGTATGCATTGCAATTGCAAGTCATAAATGAGGTAGAAACCAGGTAATCTCATTTAGTAGCAGTTTGGGGCAAGGTGAGTGAGGAGGAAGTCGAGCTTTTTGCATTCCCTCAAGTGGTTTCCTGCTCCAGCTTGAAGGCTTCAGGGAAGTCTCTTATCTGTTGTACAGGATGGGGATTCCTCAGGCTGGGCCACGGTCCTGGCGGTGCTCTGGCTGCATACCAATGGTAAGGACATGAAGTGTGAGTGGGAACTTCTGGAAAGGAAAGCTGTGGCCTGGATTCACATGCATGCAGGTAGGAACACAATCCTAAGACCCCATCTCCTTAACTCCTTAGGAAGGTAGGCATCCTCCTAGACACTGAGCCTCCAGGGTGACCAAGAGAGAAACCCTATAGTCATCTCCCTCAACCAGCCTGGTCCAGACCTTTTCTCATCTCCCAGCTAGTTCTTGCCTTGGCAGGATGAGGGTACAGTCTTAAATTGGAGGAGGTGGGGAGGTATGCAAAGAGGGAAAGGGACATGAATTGTGAGAAGGACATGAAGTTGCATTTATTCTCCTCACTATGTCAGAACTATACCGAGTATGAGACTGGACTTGGAGCACTTACTCCGTGAGTGTTGATTATCTCACTGCTGCTGAGTATTTCTGGGACCAGAGAAGATTAAAGGGAATTTGGGCAGTGCGAAGGGAAAAGTCGGGGATATTGAAGAAAGACTCCAGGGAGATGACTGGGAAGTTTAAGGGAGACTGGGAGAGAAGCATTTATTCTTTTGCTTTGCTCAACCCTAATTCTTATTTTCTCCTCATAACAGGCTCAGTCATGAATGTGCTTATGAGAGCTGCTATTGCTTTCCTGAAATCATCTGTGGATCCTTCCATCTTTGTCCTCTGAAGATACCATGCAGAAAAAACAAGTTCTTCTTCTATGCTACTGTCCTTTTCTTTACGCTTTCTTCTGCTGTAATGTGTTTCTGTAGTTTACACCTATCCTGTGAGTTTCTTGTCATAAAAGTAAAGGATGCCCACCCCACCTTACCCCTGTGTTCCAGGATATGATTTTCCTTTCCCCAGCAAGTACCCTCAGTGAAGTGTCAGTGGTCCCAGAACCTGTTCCCATTTTTGGAGGAGTTCAAAGGATTCCTAGGCAGTAATGTTCCTACCAGGTTTTCTAGAGTGATAGCATGAAAAACAAGTGACATAGACTCCAAACTAAAGATTACAGCATTGATGTTAGAGAATGCCTGAATTAGAGAATTCTCTGCATTATTTCTGTCTATTTGCTTTTGATTTTATATACTTATCAGGACCAGATTTGTGAGCTATGCAGTTTTCTATTCTTAGAGAGGAAGGGAGGCTGAAAGTCAGCACAGGGATTGATACAACCTCAAGATGACAAAGAGAGAGACTCAAGGGGTCCACTGTGAGCAGTGGCACTGTTGGGGACCTTCTTGATGGATTCTGTTTGGGTTTCGCTACCCTATACTGCATGTCTTCCCTCTCATTGCCAAACGGACTTGGGTTGAGTCATACCTCTTGGGGACATGTTTCTCCTGAATAAGGAAACATCGTAGTAAAAGGGTGATAATAGAATCCTTAGTCCTAGCCTGAACCCGTGAGGCCTTCAAATCAGGCTCTGATCTAGTACACTAAAGGAAAAAAAAAGTTTAAAGGTAGCTTTGCCTGAGACCTTAACCACCCCATGATAAAGGAAGGAGCGCCCCTTGATTGTGATCTTGATGTTCCACATACTCTATCCTAGTAAAAATGACCTTATTTGATGTGCTGTCTCCTAAAATGCTGTTGTATCAATATTAAAATGACTATCTCTGCTCTGCACTTTGTTGTATCTGATCTTTTATAGATTTATTCATTGACCCTGCATTGGTTTTATTATGCCTAGGTTTTCTTCCCAACTTTTCTGATGCTGCCACAGTTCACACTGTGTACTGTCTCCATATCTTCTGTTGTAGGCTGATTTTCTGTCTTATATGATGCAAGAAAGGGCACTGTGCAGAAAACACTGTTAGAGTCTGACCATTCACTTAAATATTGGATTGTTGGAAAAGTCATGACACATTTTTGCAACGAAAACATAGAAAAAAATCATCATGACTTTTCCGACAACCCAATAGTTAAGCAATGATAAATAAATGTTTAACCTCTCATGAGCTTAGTATCCCCATCCGTAAAACTAAATGATTGAATTAGAACTCTGTTATCACTTTCACCTTGAATACTCAGGAATTCTGAACAGGACCTCAATATCTGTGTGCTAAGGTATAGGATGGCTTAGACCTGAGTTCCTTTAAACTGCTGAGTGAACTGGCATTAGGAAGATTTGCCCGAGTTACATAGTAGAGACTAATTTCCCAGGACTGTGAAGGGCTGTGGCATCACCTGGAAGCTTGTTAGAAATGCAGGCTTTTAAGAAACCACAAAGAACTACTTTATCAAAATCTCCATTTTAACAAAGGTCTCCAAGTAATTCATATGCACATTAAACTCTGAGAAGTGGCGGCTTAGCCTTTTCATGAAATAGGCTTGTATCCAAGCCTGCCGTATAGATAGGCCATATTGATGTAACGACAGAAGACACAACTTTGAAAGGACCATGAAATATGTAAAACTGCGTCTGCCCAGAAAAAGATGACCCTTCACATTTATTATGTAGAGCATGTGTTATTACATTTATTGTTCACCTCTCCTTTTCTCACTTTACAGCTTCCAGACTGGGCTAGGGCTTGAGGTCTTCTAAATCAAAAACAAAACAAACAAAGTATAGTCTTTTGTCTCCTCCCTTATAATGCAGAATCAACTAGTTTTTTGTTTGTTTTCTTTCAACTGCAGTTGACATTCAATATTATTTTATATTAGTTTCAGGTGTATAGTTTCATGGTTAGACATTTATATAATTTATAAAGTTGTCCCCGATAAGTCTAGTACCCACCTAGAGCCATACCATATAATTTCACTTATATGTGGAACCTAAAGAACAAAATAAATGAACAAAACAGAAACAAACTCATAGATATAGAGGTCAACTACAGTTTTAAAGTAGCATGGCTTTATTTTTCCATTTGAGCTCTCATGCTATGAAATGTACCAACTGAAATTCCTCAAATCTTAACACTTGTCAGTCTTCATAATCAACAAGCATGTTTATTGGGGCCACATATTAACCTGACAAGCTCAGGAGACTGAAAATAACCACATAAGATGGCGTAAGCATAAAAAATTTCATAACTAAGTGGGCCATGGTGGGAAGTCATATCTTTAGCTTCCTTCATAAAGTTAATCTGTGCCTTTCAGTGGGCCTGTCTGTTGTCTTTTTGCACCCAAGCTAACATCTTTGGAATTTCAGTAATCCTTTTTCCAGATCAGAGCTGGAAACTGCAAAATTCCTCATTATTATGCTTGTTTCCTGATTACTATGTGCTATAAAAAGTGAACTGTTAACTATCCTGCACCCCCACCTGTGTAAAAGAAGTACCTGTCTCTCCAATTGACTTTCATCTAATCCCAGAGGTTTCCCTGCTTTGCTTTCTCCCACCCCCTTAATCTATTACCAGTGGATTTCATGTAACCTTCCTCTTTTGATTTTATGTATAAAATAAGCTGCAAACCACCATTTTGCAGAGCATTTTCTCTATTGAGAGTTTGCTTCTTGGCAATTGTCAGTTTGGCTCAAATAAACTTCTATAAGTTTTCTCTTAGGCTGGATGTTCTTTGTAGACATGTCTCTAAAAAGAATTATATTAGGAAAAGGGAGATAAGTCATATGGAATTCCTGGAGGGTTCCTAATTTTATATAGGGTGTTTCAGGGAAGACTTTACTCATGTAATTTGAACTGACTAAATATAAGGAAAAGAACTGTCCTGTTATCTGGAAAAATGCAGAAGAAATAGTACTTGTAAAAATCTTGAGGCAGTAAAGTATTTAGGATGTTAAATAATCAGGCAGGAAGCCAGTGTTACTTAAGCAGTGTTAACAAAAAATTCAACTGAGTAAGTTTGAGTATCTAATTGGCTTTATTAAGTGATTTGTGAATCAGGCAGTATTCTATCTAGCAACTAGAAGGGTGCTCCCAGTGGTGGTACAAAATGGAGGGATATTATAGGAAGAAGGTTGGGGTGAGGAAGCTATTAGGGAAAGAAAAGAAGGGTTATATTTGGGCCACGACAACTTTTTTAGGGGGGAAGAGAAGGAGAAGGATATTTATCATGTAGATTGCCTTGCTTCTTTCTGTGGGGGATGGAGAGGGCCTATGTAAGAGATTACCTTACTGGTGCATGACCAGAAAGTTGCAGACTAGTTAAAGTTAATTAAGATTACATTTCTGGACGAGGTTAAAATTGCAATTAGATCAGGTGTTAAATCTAGTTTTGGTATCATGAACTTTTAGCATGAATGATGCCATTTTGGGTCTGTGGTTTCCTCTTTAACATGATGATGTAAGAACATCTAAACCTGTAGAAAATTTCCATGAGATTTTATTTGAGTCAAATCTGCAATCCTAGAGCCGGCCGAGTGGCACGATGGTTAAGAACTGGCTTGGGACGCCAGAGGGCCCCGGTTCGGATCCCACATATGAGGGACAGTGACACTGCCCTCCACAGTTAAGATGCTGAACAACAGCTCAACCTGGAGCTGGGCTGCTGTGAGTCGCCAGCAACGGTGTAGGCTGCAGCCCCTGTGGCAGGTAGGTTGCCATGGGCTATCGTGTATAGCCAGCAGCCAGCGTGAGCAGCGGCCTTCCAGAAGCCAGCGACTGATCTGCCTCGCCCGGGAAGAGCACAGTGATGGTGCCAACTTGGGCCAGTGAAGCAACGTCCTCCACAACAAAACTGAAGAACAAAACGACAGCAACTTGTCTGTTCCCCTTCCTCCAATTCCCCAGTGCTGTTCCCATCCCCCCAATTCCCCAATAAAAAAAAAATCTTAAAAAAAAAATCTGCAACCCTAATATGCAAGATCTAGAATGCTTTGAAGAATGACTTCTATGCATTTGAAAGTAAGGAGGGGACATAAGATTACATGAAGGTAGGAGAAAGCAAGATGGAGATTGGATTATAGGATAGTTAACAAGAGTATGTGCTCTCTTGAGGGTGGTTATATTTATTCCAAAGGTATGTTAACCAACAGGCACAAAAACAATGGACAAATGGACAAGTCTTGTTCAAGGCAAAGATACACCTTTTACTAATGAAGTTATATGCCTGGGGCATGACTACCCACCATCACCTGCTCAGTTAGAAATTTATGACCAGGTCACCCTGTGAAATTACTTTCTGTAGAATCCCCATTTTGTTCACAGTTCCCCCTTTTGGTCAGACATCTGTTCAAAGGATGCATTGATGACCAATGTTTTGGTCAGACAGCGTGGTCTCACAGAACTAGGACGCCTCAGTATCACATTGTTTTGTTGACTTAGAGATGAGGAAATAATGAAACCATGGGATCTGAATCGAGGCCAAATTTTCCCAAAAAGGGAAGGACAGGTAAATGGAAGGCAGTCAGATATTATGGCCTTTATTGTGAAAAGAAATCACTTTGGATCATTTCTATCCTGTGAGCTGGCATTATCTGAGTTTTGCCTTCTGTCTCATTTTCTGTATTTGGTATCTAGTATAACATTTACATAAACCATATAAAGTATTAACAGTTATCTTGTACATCTTCAGTAGCCATAAACACTTGGACTATATAGAAAAACCCAAAGAATGAGAATAACTATTATTATGACTAATGTCATTAGCAGACAGGTAAAAACAATCAAACAAAATGGCTTCTGAATTAAACATAAGTACACAGGTCTTGCTGATGTCTTGGAATACCTGTCTACCTCTGATATCAGTGGCTTCTCATCCTAGAGGAGTCTGATGTTTGTTGTAGGCAGAGATGAATCTCATAGACAGGGCTGGATGTCCATTCATGGTTATGTGCCTAATAAGTTCCCTTCCAGTGAGGCTGGAGAGAGTCTTTTGATGAAACAGGTAAAGAGTTATGAGGAATGAGCTTGTGAGTTAACAGGAATGAGTTTAAAAATTAACCGGTTGGTTCTGAATCTCCCAGCTAACTGTGGGGACAGAACGGTTCCCAGAAGAAGCCAACTATAACAGCAACCGCCTGAAAGCTGACAAGCACCCTACATCCTGCACAGAAAAATATAAAACCCCAGCTAAACAGAAATTTAGAGCAGCTGTCTACTCTAGACTCTGCCCCTGGTAACTCCTCTGCCAGTGCTTCTCTTCTTAAATAAATTTTCTGACTTCTACCCTTCTGCACCTCATGAATCCTTTCACAGCCGGCGAGTGACCACGACATCTTTTATTTGATGTCCTTTCCAATAAACAATATCTCCAGGTATCAGTCTATGATGTTTAAAGTCTTTGTCTCTTGGGAGCTCACTGTGAAAAGAAGCAGGTGCCAACCAATTGGGCATTTTCTTGAAGTGACTCAATCAGATCTAGGCAATAGTAGAAGATGTCTCTTTTCAATAATGTCAGCTCATATGTTCCTTCATCTAATTTAAGTCCAGCTTAAATGCGCTATGATCCATGAAGAAATGTAAAAATCCAAAAAAAAAGGAGTTTGGCAGGGAGCCAGTAAGAACAAAGTAGCCATCTTGGGTTTTCCATAGCATCCACTATTTGTTTAATTTACCGTAATTGTTTACCCATACAATATGCCCGAGAGGTGTTTTTTTATCACCTGTTTTATAATGGTTCCTATGCAATTTAACATAAAAATAAATCTTTTGAGTTTTGCCAGGGCCTCTTCTGAAACACTGCAAAGTTACTCTTATATATATTAAGATTTTAACCCCTAAAACCTC